TTCCCTTGAGAAGTCTTAATGCTTGTCTCAGTGATGGGGACAGGTTGATCCTTGTTGTCAAGTAGTGCGAATCGGTGTCACCCCTTTGTAGCTGTGGCATGAGGACCAAGGGCAGGGTGGAGATTTGGTTCTCTCACTGTGTTTTTAGGTGCTTGTCTTGTGCTTTAGGTGCTCCACTGGATAAAGCTGTGGCAATGATCTTTTTCCTCCCTGTGCAATAGTCCCTCAGGGCTTGGCTGTGGCTGCTGTGACAGCCCCTGCTTGGTCCCTGTTGGCTGTCATTCAGACCTGTGCTCCCCTGGGGCTGTGGGTCACAGGTCAGGGAGAAGATAAGCAGGGAAACCAGGAAGGTTTTCAAGGGGAATGATGTCAAACACCAGCACCTGGGGGAGTTCCAGCCCCTGGGACACCAAGAGCTGTGACCTGAAAGCGTCTCTAACCACGTGCTGTCCTTTCTGATAGATCCACCACAGTCAACCCCAAAGTGCTGGGCTGAGACCTCCGCATCGGGGCTGATGCTGCAGCTGGTTTGCAGCTGGCCTGGGGGGTATCCCCACCCCACCCTGCACTGGAGAGAAGAGGGACAGGACCTGGAGAACTCGAGCTGGGTCCTCAGCTCCACGAGCTCCTCGGACACCCACGTGGAAACGCTCAACAGCTCCCACCTCTCCCACCGCCAAGTGTTCAAGTGTGTGGGGAGCCACGTGGTCAGGCAGGAGGAGCCCACGTGCACTGTGGAGATAAGTGAGTTCTCTTGCTCACCTTAGTGGCCATTCAGGAGCCTGCTGATGGTGGGGCAGGCAGCAACCCTGGTCATCCTCGGCCCTCCAGAGCACTAAAGCAGGGCTCAGGCAAGACAGGCTTGCAGGCACTTGCCTGCTGCAGGGGGAGATGCTAGGAGTAGCAGGGCTGGGCTTCTGCAGAGGTGACTGCCCAAGGCATGGAAGTCCTGCAGCTGAGATCCATCAGGGCACAGCTGCAGGTGAGTTGTGTTTTGGGTACATCTTCAGGGGCTGAATCGTCCCACACGAAGCTTTTCACCTGTGCAAGCACTGCGTGAAAGTGGGAGGTGGTTTTTGTGCCTTGGTTAGCTTGACGTTAAGTTTGGTAGGGCTGGGCTTAGGGGAGGAAGGTCATGGATGTCCCCAGACCCCCATCAGGCATCTGAGGGATCTGACTAAAGCTGCTTTGGGAAACCTGAGCTGTATTTATCCTCCTTTGTCAGAGCTACACAAGAGCTCTGCTGATCCCAAGGAACAATCCTGGGCTGCCTTTCTCCTCTCTGCCGTCTTCCCACTGGCAGATATAAATCTGTATATCCCAATGGGGATACAAAGATGGGTGTCAGACAAGCAATGTGAAATTGCTCAGATTGTCCTCAGGAGGCTGCTGCAGTCCTGCGAGTGAGCTGAATGCCAGCCCCTCAGTGCTCAAGCCCAGACTCCTGCCTGACCTCCTCCTGTTAATGATTATTAATCAGGCAGATGCTGATTGCTCCTTCTGTTAAACTCCTCCATTCCCTCCCTGACTCTTTCCTTGTTCCTCTTGCCCTGGGGCTGCTCAGAAATCCCTTCACTGGAATCAGATCCCCCAAAGACCTGCTTGGTGGGTGACAGCGTGACCCTGACGTGCCGAGTGACCGAGAGCACCCCGTCAGCGAGGCTCACGTGGCTGCGGGGCATCACCCAGCCAGGGGCAGAGATCCAGCCCGGAGGCAGGTACCTCATTGCCCAGGAGGGCAACGTGTCCCGGCTCACCATCCAGAACTGCTCCCAGGCCACCGACGGGGGCTGCTACGTCTGCAAGGCTCAGAACCCCGTGGGGCTGAGGGAGCTGTTCATCTGCCTCACAGTGAAGGGTGAGTGGGGACTGTGGGGACACAGCTCACTGGGGCCGTTTGCACTAGAGTCCTCTTTGCCTTCCATACATCCTTTGATGCTTCCCATGCTCTTGTGGCAAGTGTTGATGCAGGACTGGCTCCCTTCAGCCCAGGGTGAAAAGGACCAATTCCCCTCACCTCAGAGCAGTGGGCCAGAGAGGTACATCCTTGATCCCTCCTGGGGGTTGTGGGCTCAGAGGAGCACCTCCAAGAGCCAAGCTGCTCGAGGTGCATTGTGCAGGGGTTGATTCACTGTCACTAAATGTAAGTGGGCACAAAACTGCACTGGTCACTTCTAAGTCAATGAAGCTTGAGTGGCTGAAACCCTCACCCTTTGTGCTGGTGTGACTGTTGCTGGGATGGGAAATGGGAGCTGGGACCTGCTCTGTTACTTGCACTGGAAATTCCTCATCCATCCTTGTTCCTGACAACTGACCTGCTCTGTCTCCACTCCACAGAGCCAGTGAACATTGTTGGGGTCGTGGGTGCCGTGGTGGTCCTGTCCCTGCTGGCTGTCCTCACTGTCACCGGGGTTGTCTTGTACTACAGTCCCCTGCTATGCCTCAGAGGTAGGAGCTCTGCTCTGCATAGGGACCGGGTTGGTCTGGTTTTATCCCCAACCTGCTTGTCCTTCCTGGTGTGCTGGAGTCAGCCACTGATGATCACCACAGCCCTTGGGCCTCACCCCGCTCCTGGTCATAAACCCTGTCACATGGGTTTGAAACAGCAGCTGTGTTCTCCCCCTCCCCTTCTCTAGGGAGCTGTACTGTGGTGGGCCTTCTCCCCTTTCCTTGTGACCCCTCTAATGCTGCCATTGCATACATGGGCAGGTCACCTTCCTGTCTGAGCCTCCAGGTGTGGCTGCAAGAGACCATCCTCTCCCAGGCAGGATAGACAGGGCTTGTGCAGTAAAACTGGGACTGCTCTGGGGCTGGTTTCTAATGCTCTTTTCCCTTCCTTTCTCTCCCATCCAGGTGCTGCATTCAGGTAAGTGCTGATGTTCCTCAGCCCAGTCCCACGAGGCCTCACTAGTGAGGCTCCTGCAAGAGGAGAGGGATCCACCTCTGAGGCAGGAGCCATTCCCAGAGCAGAGCTGTTCTTACCTGGGAGCTGTGCCTGTGGAAGGGGGTGGTGGGGCTGGCAGTGGGTGCAGGAGCCAGAGGTTGAGGGTAGAGAGGGGTACACCTGGCATCAGAGCAGGAGCAGGATCCCAGTCACTTTGGGATTGCACAGGGACAGTGAAGTTGAGGAGGAGTAACCGGACTGCGCCATGTCCTTATCCCCTCAGGAAGGATGCACATGAACAAGTGCCACCTCGGGGTTTGGGTGCACCACATTGCTTCCCCACTTCCAGCTTGCACTCCTCCTGGCCCCGCTCCTTCCCTTGCCCCTCTTCCCACAGCTGTGGAGCTGCAGCATGGGAAGTCTCTTCTGGGTGCTATCATTTCCCCATCCGTACAGGAGGGAAGACAGCTCCTCTCTGGAGGGGCTGGTGAAGTTTAGTACATGAATGTTTGTGAAGTGGTTGGAGGACTTGGGAAGTGAGTGGGAAGCAGTGCAGAATGTGGTGGTGGTCTGAAATGAGCTGGTTTTGCACATGGTTAGTGCAGGATTGGAGGAGTCCATCAACATTGGTCATTTTGGGGTAGAGGCTGGTCAAAGCCTAGGGGGCACAGGCTGGAGGGAGAGTCAGGATAGGCTGTCCTCAGCCTTTTAGCATCTGCATGCTCTGCTCCTCAGGAATCGAGACTCAGATGACATCCTAGTGCTGGTGGACTCAGATGATGACGATGGGAATGGGGAAGAAGAGGCCATGAGCAGCTCTGCCAAGCAGGAGGTGCTGGCACTGGTCAATGGGAGCAGCGTTCCGGCTTCTTATCTCAAGTGCCTTATGGAAGGTGAGCCCTGGTGCCTTCTGCAGCCTCTTCCTGCTGGGAGGGAGGGATTCCTGTTCTCTGGCTCCTTGGCTCCTGCTGAGATGCTGCTGCTCTGTGCCCTGTGCAGGTGATGATGGCGAGCAGCATGGCAGGGGCTCTGCAGAGGAAATGAGGGGAGAGGAGACACAAGGCTCATAGTTCCGTGAAGCGGAAGCACACAGAGCTCCAGCTGGATGCCCAGCGCCAGGCACATCCTTGCTGTGTGGCTGAGCACAGGCTGTCCTCAGCGGGCTGGATCGGTCAGAGCATCCTCACTGCCTTCTCCACTCGCCCCTTCCCCAGCTTCCCCTCTGTCCTTACCCAGCCACGTGTCTCCATTTCCCCTCTTTCACCTTCCTCTTTGTCTCAGATGCCTTTTGAACAAGGTGGCACCCAGTGCAGGCAGAGCTCACAAGTGGGTGTCTGTAGCCTGCTCCCCGTGATGGACTCAGATACCAGTATGGGGCTATGGCATGGTCCCCATGACCAGTGCTGGGGTTGCAGGAGTGTGATGAAGTCACTGCGGGGCCACAATGGTCCTGGGATGACAGAAGAAACAAGTGGTGCATGGGCAGGACATGGGTGCTGCTGGCTATAGGGGGCTTTATTGGTTTTATGATAAACATTTTTCCCCTAATCCGTCTGGAATGCCGTGCCGTGTCTAAGTTGGGAGTTAGCTGGCAGTGGTTTTGAGGGGGATGCCTGGCTGTGGTGGGAAGCACGGAGGGGACTTACGGGGAGGGGATGAGGGGAGCAGGATCTGCATGGAGAGGAGCAGAGGGCTCTGCAAGAGGGGACCAGCAATAATCAACTGTGTGAAGTGGGGATGATGGAGAAGGGAGTGCACAGAGAGGACCTGAGGGCATGTGAAGGGTAATGGGGGATGAGGGGGGCTTCATGGAACATGGGGGAACAAAGGGGATCTGATGGCGCGTGGGGTGGAAAGGGGAGGCATTCCTGGGCACGCAGAGAGGTGAAGTGTGCTGAGAGCAGTGAGAGATGGAGGAGGGATGGGGACACCCCTGAGCGCTCAGTGGGGCAGTGCGTGGGATCTGTTCGTGTGCGGTGCTCTCTGAAGGGGCGATGGAGGCTGGAGCAGGGTCTGAGGGCTGGGGGCCTGCGGTGCAGGGTGGGTTTAGAGGGCTGCAAGTGTCCCCAGGAGCCTGAGTGCAGGCCCTGTGCTTGGAGCCAGGCCCGGAAAACCCCAGGGAGCAGCCGGAGGCTCCGGCTGCCCTTGGCAACGGTGTTGTGCTGCCGCCATCCCGGCTGCCCCGAGTCCTCCGTGCTGGGAAGGCACCAGCAGGGATGGCCTTGGACCTGGAGGAGCGTTTGAGCAGGGCTTTCCGGGACAAGCTGCGGCTGCTGTGAGTCAGATCCCTTGGGATGGGCAGAGGTGCTCCCCGACACGCTCCCGCATGGCTTTCACACCATTCCCCCTGCTCCAGGAGCAGAGCTCCTGCTGCCTCCCTGGGAAGGAGGGATCTGCAGAGCTGCTGCCCTGCTGTGGGCTATGGGGAGGCAGAGGGGGATGCCCCAGGGTCTAATCAGAGAGCCGAGGTTGTGCCAAGATGCCCATCCCCTTCCTTGGAATGCTGCTCCAAGTGGGGTGAGGCTGAAGCAGGGAGGGAGGGTGAGTGGTAACTGGGAAGGCAGGGATAAAACCACCACCAACTCCTGCGTGGAAAAGCAGGCCCGGCTCCTGGTGCCGAGCCCAGGCAGGCAGCAGTGGCCCCTGGGGGTCATGTTCGTGCCACGGAGGTGGGTTCCCCCCTCCTGGGCACGGTGAGCTCCACACAGCCCATGGCAGGACGGTGCCGGTGCCCGGCAGTGTCGCGCTGCGGCCTTCCATGCGCTTGCTGCTGAAGAGACGGGAGGTGGCGGAGGTGGAGCGGGAGCTGCAGAGGCAGCGGGAGGTAAGGGCAGACCCCGGCCCCTCCGTGTGTCCCCTGCCTGGGTGCTGCACCCCTGGCACAGCACGGGCTGTCCATAGGACGCTGCCATCCCTGATGTCCCCACAGGAGTTCCGGCAGAGGATGGAGCGCCTGGCACAGCGCCGGCAGCAGCTGGACCAGAGGGAACAGCGGCTCCGGGACGTTGTCCTCAAATTCACTTCCTTCCTCAAGGTGCTGTGCAGGGGTTGGGGCTGGGGTGGCCATGGGGGTCCTGCTGACCCCGTCCCCACACCACAGGCTTCAGCAGCGAGGCAGGAGCGGGTGCTGCAGCGTGCAGCAGAGGCGCAGGTACAGGCAGCGGAGCAGGATGCTAAGGCCGCTCGCCTGCACCAGCAGCTTGCAGGGCTGCAGCAGCGCAGGGACCGCCTAGCCCAGCGCCTCCGAAGCCTCCAGCGCTTCCACAGCTACCTGCAGGACGTGCTGGTCAGGATGGGGCAGGTGAGCACGTCCCAGGCTCATTGTGTGGGGCCAGCCCCATGTGGTGCAGCGGCCCCCCTACCCCTGCAGGCTCTGAGCCCCCTCTTGGTGCCCAGTTCCAGGATGTCCCATCCATGCTGGCCCATTTCGAGGCACTGCTGGCCCTGCGGGCAGCCCTGGCACAGGAGGCAGCAGCGGGGCAGGAGCGGCTGGCGCGGGGCTGGGCATGGCTCCGGGGGTACCGCGAGGAGACCCTCAGCGAGCTCCTGTGCATCGCCACTGAGCGGGCCCAGCTCCATGCGTGCCTGGAGGCTGCCCACCGTGAGGTGCTGCAGGGGGTAAGGAGGGACGTGGGGTGCATAAGGACCAGGAGAGGGGCAGCAGAAGGACCCCAAAACCTGACAAAGAGGGGGATGCCCAGTGTGGTGGTGGTGGGAAGCTGGCTTGCATCCACTGGGCTGAGCCAGCGTTCCCCATGCACCCATAAAGCAGCATCAGCTGTGCATGGGGGAAACAGCCAGGACCCCCGGGTGTCCCTGTCCCATCAGGGGAGGGGTTGCAGGGGACGTGGCTGGAAGGGGGGGGCAAGGGCTCTCTGCTGTTCTGTGCCCAGGAGTCCTGCTGGGCTCATGCCCAAAGCACAGCCACCGAGGAGACCCTGCTGCTGGCGCAGATCAAGCTGGCAGTGCTCAACCTCTTCCACCTCACCACTGCGCCGCTCAAGGTCTGCACAGACGTGGCCCTGGAGGACACCGAGGCGCAGCTGGACACGGTCAGTGCAGCCTCTCCCCCGGGCAGGGGCACACGGGGCTGTTCCTGTCCTCGGATGGCTGTGGCATCAGGCTCCCATCCACAGGTGCTGCTCTGCATGCAGGACCTGGCTGCCATCTGTGCTGAGCTGCAGCCCAGGCAGCTGGGGCCGTGTCCTGCAGCCACCAGTGTGCATCACAGGGGTGCCGGGGTGCCACCGAGCCACGAGTAACCCCTTGGGACCACCGCTGCCATGGCCAGCATGGAGCCACAGCACTGGGAATGGAGGTCACTGCCTGACACATCTGGGAACCCACAAGAGGCAGCGCGAGGGGCAGTGGCAAGGCACAGTGGGGTGGCACTGCACTGGGGCAGGGGATGGGACACCCCAAGGCAGAGCCTGACCCTCTGGGGTACCCTCCTGCAAGCGGGACCTGGGTACCACACAGTGGGGGAGCTGCTGCTCATGTTCAGGCATCTCCCATCAAAATATTCCCTATCCCTGGCAGTGTTCAAGGCCAGGTTGGACACAGGGGCTTGCAGCAAGCTGCTCTAGTGGAAGGGGTCCCTGCCCATGGCAGGGGTTGGAACTGGATGAGCTTTAAGGTCCCTTCAACCCAAACCAATCCATGATTATAACCCAGCCGTGCACCCGCAGCACTTGTTTGGTTTAGGACTGCGCCTGGTGGTGGCCCAAAGAGGAATCACCCCAGGCACAGTGCTTTTAGCAAGGACAAAGAGGAGCCCGAGTCCTCCAAACCGGCCGCGTGTTTAATGCCCCTTTCCCCCGTGCCCAGCCCAGGCGAGGGGGGAGCCGCCGGGGCTCAGCCCCCATCCCTACACCCTCTTCCTCATCTTGCCCTTCTTGGTGCCCTGCACCCTGCGCCCGAAGGCCATCTGCCGCAGCTCCTGCACGCGCTGCCGGTTGCGGGCCTTGAGGCGCTTCAGCGCCCCGCTCTGCAGGAACCGCTGCTTGGCCGCTCTCTTGCGCTGCTTCAGGATCTGCTGCTTGTTCTTCAGCTCCGAGCGCACCCGGGCCGGGGCCTGCGTGGGCCCTGCAGGGGGCACACGGCCAGGCTTGGGGTGAGGCAATGGGGAGGATGATGGGGGGGGGCTTCACCCCTTGCTCCAGGTACTCACCACGCCGGTGCTTCCCGCGGAACTGCCCCCGGCTGTGTCCCTCTTCCTCGTCCTCATCCCGCTCGTCAACCTTGTACTTCTGCTTCCACTTCTCATAGCTGGGCCGGTGCGTTAAGGGGATGTGTGGTGGCTCCCCATTGCCTGACCCACTGCGGTGTCTGACCAGCCTCCCCCCCTGCCGTGGGTATGGGATGGCTCCCCAGGAGCAGGGCACAGTCACAGGCAGGATACAGGTTGTTCTTGTAGGAGCTGCTGATGTAGCGCCCGCTCTCCGTCTTCACCTTCTTCTTGTCCTCCTGGCCCGTCTGCCCCACAAAACGCTTCTTCTTGCGGTCCCTGTGGGAGAGGGGAGAGCGGTGGAACCCCCCCCAGCCCTGATCCCACTCCCCCCCAGCCCACGGACAGTCCCCACTCACCACTTGAGCAGCTGCTTGCTCTTGTTGAGGTTGTGGTTTTCATCGCCCATGAGATCCAGCACGGCTCCGGCTGCCTGCTGCTCGAAGGGGCTGCCCTCGCCACCAACACTCAGCCTGCAAAGGGCAGGCGGTGAGAGCAGCCCCGCTGGGGCAGGGCAGCAGCAGGAGCCCCCCCTCAGACTCACCCCCTCTCGCTCTCAAAGTCCTTGGGCCTGTATGGGATGTAGAAGTCCTTGTCCTGCTGCGCCGACTGCTGCAGCTTCTTCCTGGGGCCGCCTTCTCCCCCTCGGCCCTGCTTTCGCTTCTGGCCCGAGATGCTGGAGAACACGTCCTGGAAGGGATCAAGGGAGGACCCTGCAAACCACTGCATCAGCCCCCAGCACAGCCTAGAGCTCCCGGTCCGTGTGTCCATGGCCAGCCCCCAGCCCTGCCCCATTACCTGGAGGTCTTCCTCCTTGTCGCCTTCTCTTTCTCCCTCCTCAGGGGCAGGGGGTGCCGGGCACAGCCCCTGCCCTTTGAGAGCTGCCGCCCGCTTCTCCTGCTGCCCGCGCTGGTACTTCTCAATGAGGGCACGGTCGTGGCGCCGCTTGGAGCGCATCACGGTGCTGGCCGGCGTCCGGGATGTGGCGTTGATCTCAAAGATGGTCTGATCCCAGAGCGGGAATGGGATGAGCGGCACGGACCTTCCCTCCCACCCAGTCAAGACAGAGAACGGGTCTCAACTCACCGCCTTGGACTTGTAGGTTTTAATGCTGTCCACAAACTTCAGCCTCTCCAGCTCCGTGTCTTCAAAGCGAGCGCCTGAGGAACACAGCGAGGGAGAGGGGCACAGATCAGCTCCCTGGTGATGGGAATGGGGGTCCCCTCCCTCGGTGTCCCCAAAGCAACTCACTGAAGAGTGGGTGGATGCCAAGCTGGGACACGTCCATGTCTTTTGTCCTCTTGATGGACTCGGGCGAGGGGCCGGGCCGGGACCTCAGGTACTGCTTGTGGGCATTGTCAGCCACACGGCGCAGGCTCCGCAGCTCGAGAGAGCCCTCGTGGTCCGTGAGCAGCAGGCACTCCTCATCGTCCACCAGGCTCTGGGGGACACGGCCCAGGACCCCACCAGCATCTGCAGTACCAGGAGACACCACATCAGCGTGTTGGCATGGCAGCAGCATAGGATTTAATAGAGCAAATGGCCATGGAGAGCTCAGTGGTGTTAAATCAGCATCCCCAACATGCCTGGGGGAACATACCCCTCCATGAAATGGATAAAACCAGTGTCCCAGTCTGGACCTTACCAGCAGGCATCTCCTGGGTACCAGCGAGGACAAGCGGGTGCCCCAGGAAGAGATGGAGGTCAAAGACATAGGGCATCTCATCAGGAGCCACCAGTGAGTAGGCAGTGCCGCTCCGGCCAGCTCGGGCCACACGACCTGGAAAGGGATGGAGGAGAGTGGGAAACCAGAGCCCAAGCCTGATGGAAGCCCAGCAGGGACTTACTGGTGCCATTGGGAGCACATGCATGTGACATTTACTAGGTGGGCATGGGTGGCAAGGGGATGTGGGTTGTTGGGAAGGGGGAAAAGGGGAGCTCATGGTGGTGCCATCGGAAAGGGAAGGCACCAGCCCTGCTCCCAGAGTCGAGGGGGGAGATCAGGGATGTTTCTGACACTGCTTTGTCCCCTGATGTCACCTCCTGCCCCAGAGATATCCCCATCGAGGCAGGATCAGCAGTGCCAGCCTAACAGGGACAAGGGGTAATGGGTTCAAACTGAAACAGGGGAAGTTTAGATTGGATATAAGGAGGAAATTCTTTCCTGTTAGGGTGGTGAGGCACTGGAATGGGTTGCCCAAGGAAGTTGTGAATGCTCCATCCCTGGCAGTGCTCAAGACCAGGTTGGACAGAGCCTTGGGTGCCATGGTTTAGTGTGAGGTGTCCCCGCCCATGGCAGTGGGGTTGGAACTGGATGATCTTAAGGTCCTTTCCAACCCAAACCATTCTGTGATTCTATGAAACAGGGGACAAGGGACTCGCACCCTCCTTGTCACCACGAGGGACCCCCGGGTTGCAATGCACCCTGCGCAGGGCACCGGCACCCACCGACACGATGCAGGAAGAGCTTGGCCTTGGCGGGGAAGCTGTAGTTGATGACATTGTCCAGCATGGGGATGTCGAGCCCTCGGGCGGCCACGTCGGTGACCAGCAGCACCGGGCACTTGCCGTGGGAGAACTTGGCGATGTTGATCTTGCGGGCGGTCTGGTCCAGCGAGCTGTAGATGTGTGTGCAGCGGATGCCCTGCGCCGTCAGCAGCTGCGGAGCGGGGAACAGGGATCAGATCCCACCAGGGAACGCACCCACAGGCAAGAGACAGGGCCCCAGGAGCCCAGGGTGCCCACCCAGACCCCACATCCCGCTCTCTCCAAGGGGTAAGTGGATGCAGCACCTCCATGGTATCACATCCTGGGATTTCTCCTGCAACCCAGCAAAACAGAGGCAGAGACTCCAGCAAGGATGTGCCCAGAGAAGTGGTGAATGCTCCATCCCTGGCAGTGCTCAAGGCCAGGCTGGACAGAGCCTTGGGTGACATGGGCTGGTGTGAGGTGTCCCTGCCCATGCCATGGATTGGAACTGGATGATCTTAAGGTCCTTTCCAACCCAAACCATTCTATGATTCTATGCCCACCAGTGCAGACCCCAAGTGAGCCTGGGAAGCGGTCCCAGCCCCACCCCCCTGCCCTTTAACAGGGGTACAGGCTGGGCACCCCCAAATGCCACTTACCTCCTTGAGATACTCTGTGTGGTGCTTGGTGGCCACAAAGACGACCGTCTGGTCCTGGGGCTTCACCACAGTGCGGAGCAGATGGAGCAGCACAGCCGGCTTGTCATCCCCGCGCACGTGGAAGAAAGCCAGCTGCAAAGGGGGGGGGCACAGCTCAGCCCCACTGCGTCCCCACACCACAGGGTGCTTGCAGGGGTTAGGGGCACAAAGCCCACCTCAAGCTCCCCCCGAACCCATCTCACCTTGAGCTGCTCGCTGAGCTTGGACTCCACATCGAGCCGGATCAGCATGGGCTCGGTGAGGCCTGCGGGACGCGGTGACACACAGGCCACGTGTCACACGTGGGATGCGCTACCAGGACCAGCCCCACCGCTCGGCTCGGGGACACCCGCCTGGCCCAGCGCTATCCCAGCTCCGTTTTGGCAGTCCCGGCCCCAGCCCAGCCATGGGATCACGCCGTGTCCCTGCCCCGTGCTCTCACCAGCCCGGGCGAACTCCACGAGCAGCTTGGGCAGCGTGGCGGAGAAGAGCACGGTCTGGTGGCAATCCGGGAGCCGGGCGATGATCTCCTGGAGCTGCTCGGCAAAGCCCATCTCAAAGAGCCTGCAGGGAGGGGACACGGGACATGGCAGCGCCTGTTCGGTCCCTCTGTGCCCAGCCCACCCCATGGGTGGGGACCCCCCCCCAGCCCCGGGGACCCCACTGCGGACCTGTCGGCCTCGTCGAACACCACGTACTCCACCGTGTGCAGCTTCAGTTTCATCTCCACCGCCACGTGCACCAGGCGCCCAGGAGTGGCAATGATTCTGCAGGGACAGAGCTGGTGATGGGAGCTGGTTGGGGGGGGGCTCAGTGTCCCCACTCCATTGTGGGTACAGGTCCCAAATCCAACCTAATACAGACTCCACTGTCCCCCCTGGGGAGCACAGGAAGATGCTCCAAGGGAACACCGGGATGCATCCAT